GATTTAAGAGATGTTAGACTGATATTGTAAAGCTACTGAGAATAGCATTTTTCAGTATTAGACATTTGGAAGTAAAAATCATGGTAAATATAACTATAAATGCAAACTAACTGACACAGGTAGGGTTTGTGGGTGATTCAAATAGAATGAGTGGTGTGGCTGCTGGAGATAAAGTTTAGGTAAATTTCCAAACAAAACAATATACATTCTTCCATTAATAAACAACATAGTTGTATTTCCAGTGTAAAAAAAAAAAAAAACACACATGAAAAGTATTTGGAGTTTAAATGTAAAATGGAGTTGATTCTAGGCTGAAACTTCAGGGTTTCATCTATGAGAATACCTAAATGGCTATTTGAAAGTTATGTGCGATTCAGAACAATTCTTGATTGGAGGGAATTGCTCCCCTAATTACACGATGACTAGTATCCCTGGCCTCTACCTACTAAATGTCAAAAGCTCTTCTCAATTATTGCTGACAATCAGAAAATGCTTCCAGAAGAATACGAAATGCCCACTAGGGGCAGTGTCTCACTGTGGAGAGTCACTGGTCAATAAAATCTCTTCTTGCATGGTAATCTTTTACTTCTGCTTCAGTATATTTCCTCATCTTTCACTTGGACTTCCCAACTTTTCTCCTTATTCTCAGTCTTCTCTGCTTATAATTCAACATACATGTTGAATTACATGTCATTCCCTGCTGAAAATCTATATTGGTTCCCCAGCACTATAGGGTAAAACACATTTTTTTTTTTTTTTTCAGATTGGATGGAGGTCAGTAATCTGATCCTATCATATTTCAAATCTAACCTATACAACCTTCTCCTATGTAGCTGTACTCTTCCCCATGTAGTCTCCAGAATTTAAAAAAAAAATTCTCAGTCTTTTCACCAACTTTGCTGTTTTTTTTTTTTTTTTTTTTTGGTCTGGCAAGTTCTTACTAATACTTCAAAAGGCAACTCAGGCATTACCATCCAGTAAAACCATTTCTTGTCATTCTCCCACTTAATCCTGAGCTTTGTATCAATTTTATGTTTCGTAACTGTTAGTCTACTCTTCCCTTAAATTGTGAGTTATCTGAGGAAAGGGATTTTTAATCCTATCTAGTGTATCAAATAGATAGAGGTTTATGAGGAGGTCTTAAAAAAACATTTATTTGTTTACTTTTTGTAGTGCTGGGGATGGAACCCAGGGACTCATGTATGCTAGACAAGTACTCCACCATTAAGCTATATTCCCAGTGCATTTGATTTTTTTTACTTTGTGACAGGGTCTGAGTTGCTCAGGTTGTTCTCAAGCTTGTTTCTCCAGCCTCAGCTTTCAGTAGCTGGGATTCCACACTCATCTAAAAAAGCATTTATTGGACTAAATTTCAGTGATAGTGATAGGTATTTAGAGAGCTCTGCATATTACCATATAATTGTTTTGTTTCTTTCAATATTTTCTCATCCTTTAGCTAGCTAGTTTATTCTTTCCAGTTGATCACAGCCTTTTAGTTTGTTCTTTATCTAATAGTTATTTAATCCCCAATGAATTTCAAATCATCTTTATTATGCGTTTTTTTACTAGCTTCCATCCTCCTTGTAGTGACTGAGACAAATATGTCCTTTTAAGTCCATTCTCTCATTTTTATTTTACTTAATTAAGGCTATATATCTCAGATGACTATTCTTTCTAAAGTTATTTGAAATCAGCTCATGAGAATAGGATTTGTTTTTAACTATTCTGGTTTTTAAAAAAGTATTATTCCATATGTATAATTTCTCTTTTTGTCACTGTGACTCTCATGTTGGTTGTTTTTAGTGTTGGTTCATGGTTTTATAACATACATGCTTGGTGTTCACCAGGACTTGACTTTGGGGTATTTCTCATATTTAAGAATGTTCACCTCTTTCAACTCCTTTGCTAATTAAGCAAGGATGAAAATAAATTAGTTTTAAGAATCTTGGTTATTATATATCTGGGCTTCATGGTGTTGCTTTGCTAGCTATCATAAGAGTGGCCATAATCATTCATCATTTTTTTCCTTTTTTCTTTTATACCTTCATTTAATTTACTTATTTTTATGTGGCATCGAGGATTAAACCCAGCGCCTGGCACATTCTAGGTGAGTGCTCTACTTTGAGCCACAACCCCAGCACCCCCACCCCCAGCCTTTTTTTCCTTTTTCATCTACTTTATTCCTTGCCTTCTCAGGATTTAGCAGCAATATTTCAATAATGTGTGGATGACTTTCCTTTGGGTAACTAGAAAAATAGTTTCTGCAGAAATAATCTACATAAATGATATTATAGAGACATTTTTCTGGAGGCTACAATGTGACCTATTGAGATACACTAAATTGGTTCTTATTTGTCAGGACATTCAGCTCTTTCCTTTATTTCATTTTGAAATGGAAGAATAAATGGGGAAAAATGTGCTCTGAAATCCTCTGTCCCGCTTTAGCATGTAAATAGCATCATGCACAAAAAATTTCAAGCTGTCAGGAGTAAAGAAAGTATGATAATTTAGGATAATTAAATGCTTGAGACAATCAAAATAGAACTGATCCTCGTAAGTTTTTCTTACTTGCAGAAAACTTCTTTAAAAAGTAGTTACTGATCTAAATGTCTTTCAATAGGGCTGTTAAAAAATTGTACAGTAACAATCCACAATATGGACTAGTCTACAATCTCAAAGAAAGCATACCTATATGGATGGACATAAAAAATATGTATGGCTGTTTTTAAAAAAAGAAAGATTGTGAATGATATATGTATTCTGATCTCATTCAGTAAAAAAAAAATAACAGAAACAGAAGCAAAATATATACAAAAAATAGGGGTGAAGATGTATACACCAAACTTCCCCAAGTCTGCACTAAGAACTTACATTTCTGTGTTTGTTTACCAGATTATGAGCTGCTTTGTTGCTAGATCAATTGCAGGATGCCAAACTAAATTTGAATTCCAATTAGAAACAAGTATTTTAGTGAAAGAATTTCCCACATATTGAATGAAAGATATTTTTACTGAAATGTTTTCATTGTGTATCTGAAATTCAAGTTTAACTAGGAGTCTCCTAATTTTTATTTGTTAAATTTGGAAACTCTACTTTAAGGAGACCTTTAATTAAACATCCTGTACTTCTGTCATTAACAGTTGCAGAGATAAAATAGGTCACCATAAATGACAGGAGGGAAAGTAATTAAGGAGAAAACAGTAACAACAGGTGGTTTTGCTAAATATGTTTCATACATTATTTCAATTCTCATGAAAAAAAATGCCTTAAAGTTTTGTTAGTGGTACTAATTTTTTTTAGGGGAGGGTATCTTGTTTTTTTGTTTTTGAGATTGGTTTTCGCTATGTTACTTGAACTGGAGATCCTCCTGCCTCAGCACATGTCACTCCACCAGATTTAGTGGTCCTATTTTAAAGATTAAGAAAAAGAAATACACAAACCAGTCCTGGTGGTGCATTCCTATAATCCCAGCTACTTGGCAGGTCCTTAGGTAGGAGTATCTCAAATTCCAGCCCTACCTGGGCAACTCAGCTAGACTGTGTGTCAAAATTTAAAGACTGGGGATGTAGCTTAGTAGTAGAACAATTTGCCTAGCGCGTTCCAGGCCTTGTGTTCAATCCCCAGTACAGAAAGAAAGAACAATAACAACCTCCACAAGACATAAATACTAATGATATCTCCCTTGCCTCTGAGCTGTTTTGAAGATCAGATAAGAATATGTATTGTTTTTCTATATTCTAAAATGTCTCACTCTTCTACCAGAGCAGTTGCTCTTTTGCTAAAATCAAAAGATTTTATAAAATCAAAGATTTAAATAATGCCCCAGCGTCACTACAGTTTTAATTAATTTTATTTTTAAAATTATCATATATTCAAACTGCCTCTTTATAGTGTAAAAAGTATCATGAGTTTTAACACATGTATAGATTTATATAACATCACCACAATTGGGATACAGAACATGACTACAGCTTTTCAGATTCTTTTTTGCAAAAAATGTTTCACATTTATGTTGCAAAAAATAAAAGAAAGGGATTTAGATAAATGTGCTGAAGATGCAAATTAATGAAACTGGCTTTTTGCACAAATCTCTGCAGTCTCCAATCTCTGCAGCTTTTTTGTCTGGGCCATTTTTGTTGTTGTTTCTGCAGACCCTTTCTACTAACCATGAATAGATGCAGCGCTGGGGCCCTCACACTAGACATGTTACAGGAACAAACTTCAACATTACTTATTTGATCCTTTTTATTGTACCAGATCTTAATTTTCTCAACCGTTTTCCTTAATATCATTTATCCCCCTCTTTAATATGAAGAAACCTGGAATAACCAAGACCTTCTTAATACTGTGGAGGAAGTTATTTGATTGGGGCAAAGGGGATATAGAGTTTTTGAGAGAGCAATGACAAGGCTTTCAGGACCCAAGAATCGCTCCAATATAATAACAGATCCCTTCTGTAATCAATCACTTTATTAGTTCTTTCCCCCAACCCCATAGTCCTGCTCCCTGCAGGGTGCCCCCTGGGACTAGGGACTTTGGGATAAACTTCTGCATTCCCGGATCAGCCTGGTCTATTCCCCATCCCACCAAGTTCTCTCAGCTTAAGTTACTTGCTCTGACAGAAGGCGCCACATCTGCAGGGGGTGGGGCGGGCGGGTCCGCTTTCTGGGTGACTCACTTGGTTGCTATTTGCCTTTTGTTTCTAAAATGCTTTGGCTGCCGTTTTCTTTCTTCTGCTTTTAATTTTTGGAGGAGAAAAACCTAATGAATCAAGAATAAGTCTCCCCTCCACTCCACTAATCTTTCTCAACCGCCCCTCCCCCGAAGTTGGTTCTCTCTCTTCACAAGTTCCCATAACTACCCAAGACGTGCGGGGGCGGGACAGGTGGGAACGCATTAACAACACTTAAATCTGAAGTTGACAGCCAAAGGTACCAGTTTGGTGGGGAGACTTTCGGAAGCTCCCTTACACACTGCTCGGCGTTTGCTATTGCCGCTGTACATTTCAGCTCATTTCTTTTTGCTGCTGCTGCTGCTGCTGCTTTGCGCTGCTCCGTCACGCCTTTATCTCGTCGCTGCCAAAGGAGCCCCAAGCAGGATAAATTCCACGAGATTCCCCAGCGGTTTCGTTCCTGTCCGAGGTAAATACTGTATGCAAAGTGTAGAACCACCAAAGGATGCCGGGGAGGGGGAAGAGAGAGGGATTCCCTCACCTTTTCCGGCACGTTCCTCGTTGATTTCCACCAGGAGGAGGCGCGCAGCCGGATCACCCAATCTCCCTTCCTAAGTCCACCCTACCTAGGGCTGCCAAGGTTGGCTGCGCGGCCAAAATCCCTCCTGCAGGCCAGGCCCTCCCCCTCCCCCCGGCTTGGTTTTTCCCAGCTGTGTAGGTTGGGCCAGGGGCTGGGGTGCTAGGAGAGTCGGCGCTTGCAGCGCGGAGCCCGGAAGTCGCCCTGACTCTGGTGGGACTCCGAGTTGGCTTCGGAGGTGGCGGGCACGGAGGTGAGCTGTGGGGAGCCAGAAACCGAGCAAGAACCCAGAGGTGGCGCCGGGGCCGCTCCCTGTCCTCGGCAGGAGAGTAGCTTTGGTCCTGATTGCCACCCAGCTCCGGGACCCACCGCCGCTTTGTTCGCAGACTCCGTTTCTCTCCTTGGGAGAGGTCTTGAACCCCCTCTAGGATCGAAGAGACTGGCGGGGCGCGGGTTGGGGGTGGGGGGCGACAGTTCTACGCCCCTCCATTCCCTATTAATCCAAGAAGATTCAAAGAGAGATCAAAGGACTCCTGTAACCTGAAACTTCCCTTTGGTCCTAACCTGGACCGGGAGGAGAGGTCTGGGCGGAGGCGGAGACCCCGGAAGGCAGGTGGTCCGCGGAGGCGGTGGGAGAAAAGAACTGGAAGATTGAGAAGTTTAGTTGGGAAGACGCTGGGGATTAAGCGAGAAGTTAGAGGCGGGAGATGTGTGAGATCGGGGAAGGAGGAGGGCGGGAGGCTAGATGGGTATATATAGATGTGGGCCGGGGCGAGCCCAGACTTGGCGCTCCGGGTCTTGGAACTAGATACTGCTCGGCTCCGGGGTAGGATGTGCGATGCGGTTGGGGGAGGAGAAGACAGTGCGGGCGGTTGGAAGGAGGTCTCTGGGACAGAGTGGAGACAGTGGCTCTCAGAGACCGGTTACTTCTCTCGGGGAGGGGCGTACACCCGGGTCTTCACGCTTCTCTCTCGCTTATCCCAGGTCGCGCAGCGGATCCACCGACTGGCGCCAATATCAAGAGGCAAGGAGGTGCCACCCAGGGCAGCGCTGTAAGAGGAGCGGGAGGAGGAGCGCGGAGACCTGCGTCCCTACCCGCCGTGCGTACTTTCTGGAGGGAAGGGCGGGGGAATTAGCCCCGGGAGGGGGACGCTTGGTGGCGAGGGGGTTATTAGCCAAGTTCCGGCTACGGTGGTCCCCCTCGGCTCCCACAAGAGGAAAGTTTTCTCCAGACGTTTCCGGCCGGCTCGCTCCCTCCGGGCCCAGCCTCCCGAGCCTTCGGAGCGGGCGCCGTCCCAGCCCAGCTCCGAGAAGACGCGAGCCGCGATGCCTGGGGGGTGCTCCCGAGGCCCCGCCGCCGGGGACGGGCGGCTGCGGCTGGCGCGGCTGGCGCTAGTCCTCTTGGGCTGGGTCTCCTCGTCCTCTCCTACGTCCTCCGCGTACTCCTCCACCTCTTCAGTGTCGTTCCTGGGCTCGGCGGTGTCTGCTCAGCCTCCACTGTCGAGCCAATGCCCACCGATGTGCGAGTGCTCCGAAGCGGCGCGCACCGTCAAGTGCGTGAACCGCAACCTGACCGAGGTGCCCGCGGACCTGCCACTCTATGTGCGCAACCTCTTCCTCACCGGTAATCATCTGGCCGTGCTCCCCGCCGGCGCCTTTGCCCGCCGCCCGCCGCTGGCCGAGCTGGCTGCGCTCAACCTCAGTGGCAGCCGCTTGGTGGAGGTGCACGCCGACGCCTTCGATCATCTGCCCAGCCTGCGCCAGCTCGACCTCAGCCACAACCCACTCGCCCATATCAGTCCCTTCGCCTTCTCGGGCAACAACACCAGTGCTTCTGTTCCCAGCCCCCTGGAGGAACTGATCCTGAACCACATCGTGCCCCCTGCAGACCAGTTACTGAAGCAGAACCGAAGCTTCGAGGGCATGGTGGCCGCGGCCCTGCGCACGGGCCACGCACTACGCGAGCTGCGTAGCCTGGACCTGGGCAGCAATCAGTTCCTTTACCTGCCTCGGGACGTGCTGGCTCAACTGCCCAGCCTCAGGCACCTGGACCTGCGGAACAACTCGCTGGTGAGCCTGACCTACGTGTCCTTCCGCAACCTGACATACCTAGAAAGCCTCCACCTGGAGGATAATGCTCTCAAGGTCCTTCACAATGGCACCCTGGCGGAGTTGCAAGGCCTGGCCCATGTCAGGTTATTCCTGGACAACAATCCCTGGGTCTGCGACTGCCACATGGCGGACATGGTGGACTGGCTCAAGGAGACAGAGATAGTTCAGGGCAAAGCCAGGCTCACCTGTGCATTCCCGGAAAAAATGAGGAATCGGGTCCTCTTGGAACTCAACAGCTCTGACCTGGACTGTGACCCTATCCTCCCGCCATCCCTGCAGACTTCTTATGTCTTCCTGGGTATTGTTTTAGCCCTGATAGGCGCTATTTTCCTCCTTGTTTTATATTTGAACCGGAAGGGGATAAAAAAGTGGATGCATAACATCAGAGATGCCTGCAGGGATCACATGGAAGGGTATCATTACAGATATGAAATCAATGCGGACCCCAGGTTAACAAACCTCAGTTCTAATTCGGATGTCTGAGGAACAGTAGAGGACTGGGGAAAAAGGACAACTCTGCATGAGGTGTAGACTTAAGCTTTATCCAGTATTAGGCTTGCTCTACTTCCACCCTCCACTATAGACACCACTGACTTTGAAAGCAGTGAAGGGGTTTTGTTTCTTGTTACGTAAATTTTCTCGGTGTGTTCTATTAATGTAAGAATGTAAGACGATGAACAACTGTGCATAGTGTTTTGCCCTCTTTCTTTTCTTGGAACTCCTCAACACATGTGGAGTGATTTTTCAAGTTTCAGCATGGACTCCTTGCTGTTTCTCTTAGTACAGATCAAGGTGTAGCAAGTGTACCTACACAGATAGCATCCAACAGAAACTGCCTCAACTTTTTTTTGAGAAAAATACTTTATTCATAAATATCAGTTTTATCCTCATGCATCCCATGAACTGCCTGCAGACCTTAGCAAGCTCTTAAAATAACTCTGTAGTGCACAGGAGCACCTGCATCCAAGAGCATGCTTACATTTTACTGTTCTGCATATTACAAAAAATAACTTGCAACTTCAGATAACTTCTTTCACAAAGTAAATTACTTTTTTTGATTGCAGTTTATATGAAACTGTACTGAATTTTTTCTTTTTATAAACTGCATCAAGATTGAACAGACTGAATTGTTGGAAAAATTCAATAAAGATTCTTAAAAGAATTACACTGTGTTCAAGTTTGGTATTTGAAAAATGGATGAAGGGCAATAATACTGAATGGTCTTGGTTCAGATGATAATTAAGTTATTGGTTAGCAAGCTGAGCAAGGTCTTATATAAATAGTCTTGGAAGATAGTTTTGAAGTGGTGGATTCTTTTAGGATTTAAATAGAGTATTTGAATATTTATGTGACTACATTTCTCATGGTCCCAAAGTTAATGCTATTCATGAAACAATTTTGTAAGAGCTTTATGAAGTTGGTAAGAGTGAAGAGTTCTATATGATAAACAGTTCACAGTTTGGGGCTTTTTCTGGACTAATGAAGTTGTTAGGGCAGAACAATATTATTTACTTAATAAAACTCTGAATTAAATTGTTGTCTGAATGTTTAAAGGGTAAAACAAATATAATAGAAAAGTATAAAGATACAATATTCAGAAATAAAGATTTAAAAGTATAAAGACACAGTATTCAGAAATAAAAGATTTAAAAGTGTAAATTTAAAAAGGATTCTCTGAGGTTATAAAGTAAATTACAACTTGGATTTTCTTGAGAATATTTTTTAAAAGCATTTAAATGAAATATACATCAGAGACCCAGCTAATATATTTTTTAAATTGTCATAATTGAATTTAAGCTTGAGGAAATAACCAGAGATAAAAGTCTGTTTATGTAAAAGTATCTCAACTAATCAGAGATATTAATGTCCAGTTCAGGATTTAAGAATTTGAGGATTTTTTTATGTTAGCTAAGCTCTGTATAGGCATATACACTTTCATAAGGAGTAAGTCATATTTAGACATAAATAAAAGCAACTATAATCAATTGATAGCATTGATAATGGTTTTTTTTAAGCTTATCATCAGCCATTTAATCTGAAAAGTAAATTTTATTAATCAATCTCCAAGACTTTAAGTGATTTAAATTTAGCCTTTATTCCCTAACTTAAAGCATTGGGTAAATATACATCAATAAATCTTAGGGCCTGCCTGCATTCCCTTTAAATTAGTTATGCTCTTCAGTGCTTTATGTTTGAAATAAAATTTATATTTCCATATTTGTATAAATACAATAGTGTTAGTACTTTAGGACCCAGAAATGTTTGCTAATTCCTTTTTTTTAAAATTAAATTCAGAAGTTTCTGAATAGAGCTATCTATTCTATGTGACTCTATTTCTTGTTTAGATTATACAGTATAATCACAACAGATATTTTAATACCTTAAGTTCAACAAGACTCATTTTATGAAACTTGATAGTATTCATTATTATTTATGAGTTATATTTCATATCCTATAATTACCTGAGAAAAGACTAAATATGTGATTCTTAATATTCCATAATTCTTTTAAATATTTCAAGTGTTCACCAGGGATTCATAAACTGGCTGACTGCTATTATTTCCTAAGAACAATGAAGATACTCTGGCCTATCAAAAATAGTGAGTGTCTAATAAATAACAGCATGGCATTTTAAGAGTAAGCTGCTGATAAACTTTAGTTGGTACATCTGCTGATATTGTAGAAAACAAATTATAATATTGATAGAGACTATATTCAGAGGAATTGTTTCTTTATCACAAGGTTCTCTGTTAAAAATTGAGCTTGTCTACAATTGAGGAAAGCAGTAGATTCATAAGTTCTGCTTTTCTCATCACCTCCCTGAAGCGATGATGACTCTGATCAAATGAAGCTGGGTTTCCGTCGGTTAGGTGGGTGGCTTTTTTGAAGTTATGACTTCTTTCTTCTTTTACCTCCTCCTCCTTCTTTGTACGGACTTCCCAATTTACCACGGCTTTGTTTCCTATCACATCACTCCTTGCTATTCTCCAAAAGATAGCAATAGAAAATTTTCAGGTAAAAGTGTTGTTTGACAACTAGTTGATATTTGTGCAGTTATAATACACAATCTATATCCTTGGAAGATAAGTGTTATATAAATCCAATAAGAGGATATAGGAAACATGAAATAAAAGCAAAATTATTGTGACATTATTTAAAAATAAAACAAGTAGACTTGTAGACAGTTTTTTACCATTATGCAGTATTATTTATGAACACTTACAAATAATCCATTTTAAAAAATTCATTTTGGTTGGTGTTATACTTTATTGCTGAGTTTTAGTGTTGAGCAGAAAGCATCCTTTATCCATTACAAGTTTCGTTTGAAAAAAGTTGAAAAAATACCTTAAAGATGATCCCTTTAAAAAAAAAACTATTAAAGTGTCCAACAAAATAAAGATTTTAGAATAGTATAGCTGTTTGACCTTGAATTGAAACTCCTCTCTTCCATTGTAACCACTAAGTTTGTAGCATTAGTTTCTATAATATTAGTTTTGCTGTCACGAGTGTGATTCATTGGTGACCTATAAGGCAGCTGATAGATTTTTTTCTTACAAAATAGGGAGATATTTGATAGTTTTTTTGTTTTGTTTTTTACAAGTAGGTACACATTTGCAGGAGTGGTATGGAAGGCTGGGTTGAAGTAAATGAGCAAATTATAATTAGATTCTTTAGAAATATTATTAATTCTTTAGAAATATCTTGATAGACAATGAATATGGATTGTGCTCACCTCAATATTTAATTAGAAATAACATCTCTTAGTTTTCTGTCATTTTAATTGTCTGTAAAAAAGAAGAGTCAAATAAACTATGATTGTTTCTGTATGAATTGTTTTACTCTGTCCCTTTTGACCTAATGTTCTAATGTAGGAGTTCCCTTGTTGAGGATATTATAGGCTTTGCAATTCTAGTTTTCAAGAGTTTATCTCTTATACCATTTCTTCTACTTTCCATTTTTAATTTTCCTCCAAAGACTATGTTAAGAGACACTGTGAGGATTTGCAAGGCTAAAAACAATTTGGCACATGCTTTCTTCCTGCTCCGAAATCCATTCAGTTATCCAGCCTTCAGAGCAGCACCATAAAATGAAGAAATTTATTAGATGAAATTCAGGTTTACATTTGTGCAAGGATCCTTAACAGTAAAGGAGAGGAAAAGGGAAGAAATTATATTTCTAGGTAACCTGAAAAATAACTTGGTAGTGTCTTTTAAAAATCAGCAATACTGCAGTACTGTACTAGAAATAATTAGCTTAAGAAAATATATTCTTCATTGTCCAGGTGAACCTGTCTCCTTTCAGATGGAAAAAAACCCCAGCTCCTTCAGGTTGTTTTGTATAGTTATCTTTTCATTCTAATCCTTAAAGACTTTTAATTTAAAAAGACAGGCTTTTTAAAATTTTATGTCTTACCTTAGATCACTTTAGCAGCTCCATCTTATCCATGGGTTTTAAAAATATATAGATTTAAAAATAATATTAAATATATGATTTATATATCTATAAGAATATGAATTTCTTAGTATTTCAAAATAGGAAGGACTCTTAGACATGTCAAACCCAGTTTTCCATCTACAAATGAGAAAGTGATAATTGTGACTTATATAATGACAGTCAGGACAAGATTCCAGTGCCCCTTCTAGCTCTCTTGATATTACTAATAACCTACCTTAAGGCCTTTGAAATTCCTATGTCTAGTTAAAACAAAAAAAGCATTTGTTTTGGTGAATTTATTTGTTTTATCATTTTTGCTTTGACTGAGTATTTCAATTTACTTCAGATTTCCAGATTTTGAAAGTTTTACTGTTTTAGACCCCTGAATATACTTAAATGTTTTTGAAATATTTTTTTTTCTGAGAATCTTATTACTATAAAGCCCCTCTGAGTCTATGACATGATAAGAAATATTTTGGAAAAGTAGTGGTGATATTTCTTCTGAAAGGAAGGCTAAAAATTCTAGAATGCTGTGCTAGCTTATATGATTCAATCTTAAAGATGAGTTAACTCAGCTGATGAGAAAAGAACCAAATTAAATCAACCAAGTTCATGGCTGAAACTAATCACCAGGTGAGACAGTCCACTTTGCATGCTGTGGTCTGCTCCCCTGGCCCACACCCACTGCAGGTGCATGCTACCATCCTCCAAAGGCCTAGACCAGACAGGGTTGCTAAATCAATGCAAATTCATCATCACCCTGGAAAATCAGCAGACTGACCAGGCAGACTTGCCAGCTCTGCTGCTGATGTGCCTGTCTTTACACATGTAGGCCATACAGCAATCCTAGTCACCTCACACTGTAGGTATACATGTCACAGATTGCAGTTTGTAATTTATGTGAATTTTGAGAACCCTCTTTTATGGGTATCTTTTAATAGATTCCATGGGAAATTAGATTTTCTCAGCTATTTAAAATGAAAGTGTAATTTAAGATGAACTATTATGATTATTATATCACTAACTTACATGTAAATGTTTATAAAAATCCTTTTGATATTTAGCTGACTTATTATGATAATAGGACTTACTTGGGGTTTACAGTTTAATTTGGTTCTTGTAAAGTAACATTTGTTTCAAGGAAACAAAAGCTTAAGATATGACCAGCTATAATACTTTTTGTGAAAACTAAATATTAAATAATATATCTTAAAGAATCTGAGGATGTTATCAAGCTGTAATGGAAGTTCACAGATTTCCATACTCCCTTCAACCCCCCCGCCATAGTTCCTTAGTTCTGTTTTTACTATTTCTTTTCTTCCCCCAGAGGAAACTATGATGAACATTTTAATGTGAAGATCAGAATAACTGAAACTTTAGGTGGGTCAGTTTTCAAATATACATGCCTCTGACAGTTTCCCTCTTTTAAAATATGTAAACTGTATTCAAAGAAGACTTTAGTTTTCATTTAAACCCATTCTATGATTATTCTTATGGATCATTCAAACACATGGCTATAAAACACTTAAAAGTCATATTTTTAAGTTAACTCACATTTTGTGAAGTATTTAAAAATATAGAGGACAGGGAAATGCCACGAATAATCCTATTATTAAGGGAAAAAATGCCCCATCATTGAGAGAAACCGCTTTCTCTTTATAGCACATGTGTTTTGCCTTTTCATTTATAGTCCTCACCATCATTACAAACTTTTGATATCTTATT